AAAAATAAAATGAAATATTAAAATCACGATGTATCTCGCTGCATTGCGCGGGTACGCTTTTAGTATTTTAATAACCAGTGTTGTAATATGCAAAATGAAGAACCAGCTAAGAGTTGGAAGATATTTTTTTTAAGATTTTGAATTTGATTCTCCATTTTAAATAACTAGAAGGGTACTCGCACGATGTAGCAAGATACATCTTGATTTTAATATTTTATTTTATTATTTATCTTAATCGATGTTATAATATGGTCTTATGTGATTTTGAAAAAGCGTGTGATGTTCTTATTTTGGAATAAAATATAAATTTACAGATATCATAAAAATTTGACAAAAATACATCGACATTAATATCAAATCAACTATTTAAAATTTATACTTGTGTGTAGTTTTTTAATTCAATTTTTTTATTATAATTTAATTTAGGTTCAATAACGAAATAATTTATACTTGATTTGATAATATAATTTTCTTGTAAATATAATAATTAAGTATTTTGTTATAACTCAATGTTTATTCTAATTATATTTTAGATTTTTTATATTTAAAATGAGATGTTTATCCTCTATTTGATTATGTTTATCTGCAGTTAGTTACACGAATTCAAATATAAAGCTTTAATAAGTTGTACTTACGCACAATTTACTTGTAATATTGAATTTTAAGTAATATGCATCAATAAACAGTACTTTATGCATAAAAATGGTTTTTAAGAGTTTTTGTCAAATGTTTTATAATATAGTATATATTTATTGGAGATACTCTAAAAAGGCTTAAAGTTTCATCTAAATCAAACCTGACACAAAAGTTTGGACATATTTTTTAGTAGCTTAATTATAATTGTTTGATAGTGTTTTAATGATCTTGAAAATGACTTATTCAGTAAGCTTGTATAAATGACTTTTATATAGAAAACAAAGTTTTTTTTCCAACTTACCCTTTCAATTAAAAAATACTCATTTCATCTAAAAAAACTCTTTTAAAAAACCTTTTCAATCTATATAGACAAATTAATCTATAAAAGACAATTTTATCTTTACAAAATTTAATAAAAAAACCAACCGATAATTTCTAAACCTTTTTGAAAAATTATTATGCAAAATAAAATAAAAAAACTTAATTGAAAAACTCGCGGTTTTCACCAAAAAAGTAAAAGAAAATCTAGACGTTATCCACCAAACATCCAACGTTAAGTAGTGCGAATAGAAAGACTGTTCTGCACCTCCCCACCCACTCTTATATCTGTGGACTACATTCAACCAAACTCTCAATCGAAACGGCAAAAAATGGAAAATGAAGATGGAGAAACGCCGCCGCGTACGGCGGATACCAACAACGGCGCCAGGCTCTCGATCATGGAGCTGGCGAACATGATCAGCGTCCCTATGTCCCTCAATGCGGTGGTTCGCCTCAACGTCGCCGACGCCATATGGCAAAACGGCTCAAACACGCCTCTCTCCGCCTCGGAGATTCTCTTCCGTATCTTCTCTTCCGGCGTCGGAGATCCTGAAAACCTCCAGCGGATTCTCCGCATGCTCACGAGTTACGGTGTTTTTAACGAACACGTCAGCTCCGGCGAGGAATTGAAAAGAAGGTAATTATCAAATCAAATAATCGATTTCTTCACTCGTATTCGGTAACTTAATGATTCTTCGCGAAAGCAAATGAGTAATCGGAGGAACCTTGAACATAAAACTTGTACGGATTAGCACAATTACCCCTAAATTTTGAAATTGATCATCTACTTGCTGTTCATTGCATACATGTTACAAAGATACTCGTTAACAGACATCGGGAAGACGCTAGTGACGGACGAAAAGGGTTTGTCGTACGGACCGTACGTTCTACAGCACCACCAGGCGGAGCTGATGAAGGCGTGGGCGGTGGTTCATGAGGCGGTAGTTGATTCATCGACGGAGCCTTTCGTGAAAGCTAACGGCGGCGAGACGGCGTACGGAATCTACGGGAAGAAACCGGAAATGAACGATCTGATGCTGAAGGCAATGTCAGGGGTATCGGTGCCGTTTATGAAGGCGGTTCTGGAAGGATACGATGGTTTTGAAGGTGTTGAACGATTGGTGGATGTGGGTGGTAGTGCAGGGGATTGCCTGAGGATGATTCTACAGAAACATACCCATATTATGGAAGGTGTCAACTTTGATTTGCCAGAAGTGGTTGCAAAAGCTCCTAAAATTGATGGTGAGTTTGGTTTACATGTGATCTTCACACTCAACAAATACACACACTCTATGTGTACTACTTTTAGTTAAATAAAATATTTTATTTTGAATTATTAAGTTTTTAAATTATTTTGTTTGTACAAAAACTTATTAATTTTTAAAAAAAATTAACAAACTGATTAAAAAGAGTGAGATCGATAGCAAGGGTCAACAACGTGATATGCAATATGAAAAACGGATAACGTTGAGGCAAGGAGGAGTGGAGATAGGGAGTGATAACGATGTCTTGTGAGAAGTTTTAGTAACGGTAGAAATTATTTAGGTTTTTTGTAGTTTAAAAACGTTAATAGTCGGTTATAAGTAGTTCTTTTTACATTGTTAATATATAATTTTATTAATATATACTTTTTACATTGTTAATATATAATTTTATTCAGTCATTTAATTCATATATTGATATTTTAAAACAAGAAACTAAATGTTGGAAACAAGTATGGAGATTTGTAATGATGAATCATGTGTGATTTTGTGTAGGTGTGACACATGTTGGTGGTGATATGTTCAACTCCATTCCCCATGGTGATGCAATTTTTATGAAGGTATATAGAGTTTTCAGATGACTTAATCATTAAGGTCATTTTAGCAAACTAAATGCTAATTAATAAGTTAGTGAAAAATATAATTTAGATGATAACGTAAAATTATTTAAATCGATGGATTCTTTTGGTAATTAATATAGAAGGGTGAAATTCGGAAAAAGTTAAAGGAAAAAAATTATATAGCGTATTGAAACTTTATTCAAATTAGTTAATTTTCAAAGAATATAGTTTATAACGTAGTTTATGAGTTTTCCATCGAACTAGAATTTTTGGCAAGAGAAATCATCAGGCAACTGTTTTTTTAAATATTATCAGTATATTGTTAGGAATTTCAAATATGGACTGTAGAAATCTCCTTAAAAAGATAAATAATAAAAAAGTTGTTTGAGTTGAAGTTATAGTTAACTATTATCCACTATGTCGTGAGAAAAGCAAAAAAGTGGCTCCACGAAAATGCGAAATTCTTGGCTAGTTTTGTATTGTCAAAGAAATGTTTATTTCTTGGAGAAAGAGTTCACCGAAATTGGCTAAGTTTGGTGTAACTTACTAATCGGACTTTTTTCTATTACGTTGATAAAAATAAGATAGTTTATGGTTGTTGAAATTGAACGGAATGGTTAGTTGTTGGTTTGAGACTATGATGATTGGTGCAGTGGGTTTTAACGACATGGACAGATGATGAGGTGAAGGCTATCATGATCAACTGTTTTAAATCGATACCAGTTGGGGGTAAGTTGATTGCTTGTGAGCCAGTGTTGCCTGATCACACTGATGATAGTCACCGCACCCGAGCCTTGCTCGAAGGTGATATCTTTGTCATGACAATTTATCGTGCCAAAGGCAAACACCGAACAGAAGATGAGTATCGTCAACTTGGCAAGTCAGTCGGTTTCTTAAGTTTCCAAGCGATTTATATTGATCATTTCTACACTCTCCTCGAGTTTAAAAAATGATGAGCCTTGATTATAATTTAGTATCGAACTTCTTGTACCCCTTTATTCCAATAATTTAGTATCGAACTAAGCAAACAAAACGGCATTTGAACATTTAACCTACAATTTCACATGTGATAATACTACGAGTACGTTGCAATTATTTTATGTTAACTTAATGGAGCACACATCAATTTAAAGCGGGCATTACAACAAAATCTATTTACAGGACACTACAAATATCTAAGTGTTCTAATCGGTTACTTTATAAAACGTAGTTTTATAGGATCAAACAATTGTCTGTCTTCTGTAAAAGCGTTGCAATAAGTTTATAGGACGTTTTTGGGCGTCATAAATAAATTTTAGAACATTTTTGAAATAAACTGTTCTAATAGCTTTCTTATAAGACACTCTTGAGAATTGTTCAGTAAACACATTTATATTATACATTTCTTCAAATAATGTCCTATAAATAAATTAATAGGACGGTTTATTTTAAAGAGTCCTAAAAAACTTATTAAGAGACCTAAAAACTTTATAAAACACATATATTTAATCATATAAACTACGGTCATATAAAGTCATTCATTGAACAGTAATTATGCATCATGGTCTTAATTTGTAGGTCTACCCTAACAGTATTATTTATGGTACAACAATAACCAAATTATAAGTTTGAGTAATTCTCTTTTGAATGGATCTATACACTCTTGAAATAAATAACCTATAATGATTGAATATTAATGAAAAGACAAATGATTTGAATACTAAACAATTGAGTGTCTTGTATGTTTTAAATCTCTAAAAAAATATGAAATATCACTACAGTTTAGTGGGAAAATGACTAAGTTTTTGAAGCATCAAAAGGTTACTAAAGTGTTGAATAAAGCCTTTATAGGTTATTAAAGTAGTCACGATGTTGTCTTAGTAACGATGCAAGTGCATGTCGATACTATAATCATTAAACATAGTAAAAGTGGTTGTATACCAAGATCATTTCTACAAAGACTTATTAATACTTAGATTTTAAGGGGTGTTTAATTTACATATTCTGAAAGAATCTAATGAAATTGGAATGTTGAATTTCATTGACCAAATTTTATTTCCTCATTTGGTTCATTCTTTTTCAAGAAATGAGTCTTTAAAATCCTACAACTTCCATAAATAAAGGAATTTAATATTTCTTAGCAACTACATGGTATTTTGATGGAATGAAATTCTCTATTTTCATAATACCAAATATGTCCTTAACCCAATATACCCTAATCTCATAAAACCCAATATGACTATCGTCGACCACCTTCGACCACCATGGATCTGAATCACCGTCGACCACCACCATCTGAAGTACCGCCGATCATCGCCATCTGAACCACCACCGACTACCACCGATCTGAACCATTGTCGACCACCATCGATCTGAACCACCGCCGAACACTACCGATCAGAACCACCGCCGATCAGAACCACCACCGATCTAATCCACCATCGATCTGTGTCATATGAACCACTATGGACCACCACCCATCTAAACCACTGTCGACCATCTCCATCTAAACCACCACGAACCACCATCGATCTGAACCACCGCCAACTATTATCGATCTGAATCCCCGTCGGCCACTACCGATCAGAACCACCGCCGATCAGAACCACCACCGATCTAATCCACCATCGATCTGTGTCATATGAACCACTATGGACCACCACCCATCTAAACCACTGTCGACCATCTCCATCTAAACCACCACGAACCACCATCGATCTGAACCACCGCCAACTATTATCGATCTGAATCCCCGTCGGCCACTACCGATCTGAACCACTGCCGACCATCACGATCTGAACAACCAAGTTTGGAGACTTGTACCGAGGCCGAAAGACAAATCAATAATTGGTACAAAATGGGTCTTCCGAAACAAAAAGGACGAGATGAGAATTCTAGTGAGAAACAATGTCAGATTAGTTGCTAAAGGTTACAATCAACAAGAAGGTATTGATTATGATGAGACTTTGCTCCAGTCGCACGCATTGAAGCTATCAGAATATTTCTGGCGTACGTTGCTCACACAAATTTCAAAGTATACCAAATAGATGTCAAATCGGCATTTCTGAACGGCATTCTCCATGAAGAAGTCTACGTGAGTCAACTTGAAGGCTTTGTTGATCCACATAAATTTGATCATGTCTATGTTCTAGACAAAGCTTTATATGGCTTAAAACAAACTCCTAGGGCATGGTATGATACTCTAACTCAATTCCTACTAAAGTCTGGTTTCAAGAAAGGTACGATAGATACAACGTTATTTCTTAAAAAGCAAGGCAAACATATGATCTTGATTCAAATATATCTTGACGATATTATTTTTGATTCTACAAATCCAAAGTTTTGCGAGAATTTTTCAGACATCATGAAATCTAAGTTTCAAATGAGTATAACGGGAGAGTTAAATTTGTTTCTTGGTCTTCAAGTAAAACAACTTCCCAATGGCATATTATTAATCAGTCCAAATATATTAAAGATATTTGAAAAGATTTAATATGTCTGATTGTTCTTCGATAAAGACCCCCATGGCCATTGGTACTTTATTGGATGCGGATTTATATGGAAAATATGTTGATCAACAAAATTAACGTGCCATGATTGGATCTTTACTGTACTTAACTTCAAGTAGACTCGATATAATGTTTTCAACGTGTTTTTGTGCAAGATATCAGGTTACTCCAAAAGAGTCACATCTTGTTGCGGTAAAGAGAATTCTTAGATATCTCAAAGGCACACAAAATTTGGGCCTTTGGTATCCTAAATAATTTGTTTTTGAGCTGACTGCATTTACTGATTCTGACCATGCAGGTTGCAAACTAGATAAAAAGAGCACTTCTGGATCATGTAAGTTCTTAGGCGACAAACTTGTCAGTTGGACTTCGAAGAAGCAAAATTGTGTTTCTACTTCTAATGCTGAAGCAGAATATGTTGCAGCAGCTAGTTGTTGTTCACAATTTTTGTGGATGAAGACACAACTTTTAGACTACGGGTACACGTTTAATAAAGTCTCTATCAACTGTGATTCAAAAAACGCGATTGCAGTAACAGTTAATCCAGTTAAAGACCAAACACATCGATATCGGGTATCATTTCATTTTGTGCAGACTGATTTTCAACTTGCTGATATTTTCACAAAACCTCTCGATGAGAAAAAGTTTTCACTTTTAGTAAGCAAGCTTGGAATGCTCAATCTGTTTGTATGAAATCTGATCCATTTTTCTAGGGGGATCAAGAGCTTAATGTTTATCTGTATTTGATTTTTTTATGCAAAATTGCAAAATTCTTAATCACTTGTTTGAGTGTTCTTGAGATATAATATCCAGGGGGAGTTCATCATAAATACTTCAAGATGATCCATCATTCTTTTTCAGGTATAATATTCTAGTCTTTCTTTGAATATGCATAGAAGAAGGACAACTTCTGTGTACATAAAAATGTTTTCTAAATGTTCAAACCACTTCTTGAACTTAAACGATTTTTATTTCTAGGAAGTGTGAAATTTAAATGATTTTCTTGCTATTTCTTTTTGGAAACGAGTACTTTCTCTTATTAGGTATTTTCTAGATATTTTACTTGCATATTTTCTCTTCGTACATGATTCAGCAATTCTTCAAATCGTTATCACCACGTCTCTAAAATGAAAAATTATTTCTGATGATAATACACTCATTTGTACTCAATCTTGTTTTCTGAGCTTAACTGAAAATAATTTTTTCATTTATGCACATCTCTTAATTATTTGATTTGTAAATCTGTAAACTTGTTCTCACAGATATTCGTTCATTTTCTCCCGATATTGTTATGAATAATTAGTTTTGTGCATCACTCCTTAATATTTGATCATGTAATTAATTGCTACATTTTTCTTGATCAATTTTCATATGATCAAATGTACAAAATTACGATATTGTTTTTTATAAATCATTTGTGATCAAATGAATTTTCAATGTCAAATTTTTAGGAGAGACTGAGAGCTTAACAGAAATACCTCTATGGATTGTCAGAACCAACAACCCTACCTAAGAGGACATCCATATCTGAGTGAGCTAAAATGTAAAATGGGTTTGTGTGCAGAGCTAAAAATAAAAATGAGAGGGGTAGTTGAAGCGAGTTAAAAGAATTGATGAGAGTTATATCAAGATTAAAATAATCCTGTTCAATCTACTGTAATTCGGGTAACCACACAATCTATTAGTTCTCAATTCTTTGGAGACTAATATTGAAAAAGGCAAGCCCAAGACAACTCTTGTTAATAACCTCACCGGCTACTCATTTATCTCTCTAAAGATAAGTGTTTCAATAACACTTGGGGCACCTAGCTCATTATCTATCGGTTTCTCATTCGGAGATAACTAATATTGAAAAAGAAGGATATATGTCCCCCTTCAAGTCTTATTGATCACAATTGAGTCTGATAAATTTGTGTAGTCCACACTGTTTACCTTTTTGAGCTTAATCTGAAGCATTAGTTGCTTTATCATTTTTTTCACTGCACAAATTTTATAGAATATTTGTTATTCTATCGTAACATTCATAGATATGCTTTTTAAATCTATCAATAATTGAATGAAGTCATAGTGAGATGAACATTAAAAAGTCTCGTATATGAAATACATTCATTGTACTTATTATATCTTTTGTATTCTCAGACCAATCTTTTTATAAATATTTAAAACATGTTCATAAGTTGAATTTGGTTCTTTCCTTCAACTTCATAATCTGAAAAGATTATATAAGTGAATTTGAAAAGATTTGCTTAATTTTTATGAATTGACAACATTTCTACAAGTATCATTCATTTCGAAGTATGATATAAATGCTCGTCATTTTCATCATAAGCGGGAGTTTATATTGAAAATGAATGAATATTTTTGCATCATTTCTGAAGATCGGGGAAGGTGTCAAAGTTTGAAAGGAGTTGATCATTTATTGTTGATAATTGCTGAGATTATTATGCTGCAATGTTCAAGAGGGAGTGAATGTGAAGATCATTTATTTAAAGAAGTACACTGTTTCTTAAAGAGGGAGATCATTCAAATTGTTAAATCCT